CAACTCATGCATTTTGTTTTTGCTTGCAGCTGACTTGAACTTCAAGAGTGTACAGATACATACTTAAGAAACCCAAAAAGAACCACTCATGCAGCTTCAGCGCCGGATTCGGCCCTTTGTGACTCCGTCCCCAGGAGTCTTTCCCTTTTGTCATGCAGGGGGATCAGGGACGTTTGGCTTGGCCTGATCCAACGAAGCTCCAGCCATTCGTCAGGATATTCTCGAGGGACGCCTTGAGAACGTACCTGCTTCGAACACATTGACACCAATGGTCCACCCTGCCGCTGTTCGTTGTTTTCATGGTCCTTCTTCATGCTACTGCCCCTCAAACCATTTTCTTTCTGCCAACTTCAGCAGCCGCGCGTTTTGCAGGATGTTACCGCAGTTGTGAGTGAAACATTTCTCAATCACCTTCAAGTGATCGGACGCTTCACCTTGCCGTTCCTTCGCCTTCCTTCTCGACTTGGGAATTGAATAACAGAAAACCAATGTCAGAGTGTGTGTGTGTGTCATGGTGTGGTCAAGTGTTATAAGGTGTTGCGATGTTTTTGTTGGGGTGCTGTTGTGTCATTGCCCTTTTCTTGTAGTGGTCGGGCCAGTCCTGGACGGGACTGGCCTGAGTCGGGATGTGCTGTGCGGACCACGCTTTGGTGTTTGTCATCGCACTGGACGATGAGATGCAGTCATGATAGGGTGGGGTGGTCTATCTATGTCTAGCCGTCTAGCCCGTCCCTGTCGGCCTGCGATGTACATGATTGGTGTCCCCCAAAACCTCACGGAGGTCGATGGATGGCGAATCGATCTATAGATATCTATAGCTACCTTGGTCCAGGCGTCCGTCGACGGAACCGTTGACCGTGGCAAATGCGGCTTGACCAACAGCCGCTGGTGGTGAGGCTTAGTGGCTACAGCCAGGGACTTCTGAAGAGCTTTTTGAAGCAAAAGCGCCTTGACTGTAACAAGAACAAACCGTACTGCCTGAAAAGTAGACAGTGCAGATGCATGTGTCCTTTCTTTTGCATCATCACATGGGGTCGCGCAACTACTTTGCAGAACTCCTGTTGAGTGCTGCACAATCAATTATACAATGAACACATGTTTTGGGGGGATGAAAAGAAACTGGAACTGGTCCCATAGTTTTTGGATGTTTTTGGTTTGAAGATGCCGTCGTACTACTACGCCAGTGCATGCTTTTGGGGGACGCCGCATGACACGTGACACACATCCCAGTATTGCACATCATGGTTATTGAACATTGACAATAATGACCCTGACCGTGTGAAGCAACCCAAGACAAAGCTCAACCCTGCCAGCACCACCTCAAAAAATCCATGACCCAAAAAGTCACGACCACAAGAGATGCACCTGTAGATGCACGATGTCCAAACCGTCACTGGTGGTTCATGATGTCCACCTGTGATGCATGCGTTGCGCAATGATTCAAACAGCCCTCATGTGTGAAACCACATGGGCTCTTTGAGGCCTGTACTGTACCCTGGTTCCAATGGTTTCTGCATGGACCTCTACGGGGACGCTACGGCTTTGGACGCCTTCGAACACGGATTCTTCCGGTACCCTAACAATTGGTGTGGTATACTATGAATTCATGCAAGTCCAGATTTGCTCCAACAATTCCCAGGGAAATGGTTTACCAGGTATATATATCTCTCAATATCATGACAATGAACAAAGGCCGAAGAAGACCAACTGCAGCAGCAATAACAGCACTATCAGAAACAGCACCAGTATCGTGGTATTTAACTTGAACAATTTACAGAATGCAGCCGCCCCCGATGTGTTAGACGTGTGGTTTTGAATGTTTGCACTGAGATTGGAAGCGCCTGCGCCCCTGGAGCAGACTCCTGAGCTGCAGGTTAGACATGGGTGACACTGGCAGATCGACTGTTTCAATGGATCAGCCCAAGTTTTTTTGGAGTTTTCGCGCGGTTTTCAACGGTTTTTTCCAGATCAAGTCGTCGGCAGCATCGGAGCTCGGGCAGATCGACACATCGGGCTGCGCTCGGTCGATCGGTGTCGGCGCTGGGTTCCCCGGGGGCACCCGACTTGGTATCCCGTTTGCCAGTTGTATGACTTCGGTGTTAAAAGACGTGCACCTTCCTGTGTTGTAGGGGAAGCGGATTGCTGGAGAGCGACCAGGCCGAGAAAGATCAGGAACTCCCGAGGTGATGGCTTGTTTTTGTTGCAGAAGGTTCAGAGTAGATTTTAGATGATTTTAGAGATTCCTGGATTTGTTTTTAGTTGTTTTTATACATGCAATTTAGATTCAGAATCAGTTGACCGCCAACTGACTAGCGACGGGATGTAGAATCACTAAGATGTTTTTGTCATCAGTTAAAACCTAAGCATGTGCCGTCCGCCCGGGGCATCACACTACATCACTACGCCGCTACGCTGCGGTGTTCTTCTTGATAGGGGCATTCCTGGGAAGCCTCCTTCACCACCTCAAAGCACATGGGGATGGTCGTGTTGCCGCCATTCAGACCCGTCGACGATCTGATGATCAGACATCGTGGGAAGGGGGGCCGGATTGGAGCAACTGATCCATCCAGGATGCGGGCGATCATCGATTCCACCTACTATGACGACGCTTCCATGGGACGAAAAAAGGGGGACAGGAGGATGGGTCGATGGATCAATGATGGTCTTAGAAGACAAAGAGAGAGACCTGATGGTCTTATAGAGAAAGTGATGTTTAGAGTGAGGTCCATGGTGGTCCGTCCGTCCTATGTACCCCCTTCAATGGTAAGGTGAACCTCAACCTGTGTTGGGGAGGGCGACCGGTATTCTACACCAGTTGAAACCGGTCGACCGGGCCGGGCTTCGGGGTGGCGCACTCCAGGGATCAGAGCGGGGGGAGCCCTAGTCGAACACCACACAACACCACACACGAAGTATCACGAAGTAAAACACGCCCTTCTTGTTCGAGGGAGACTGAGGAGGTGAGCTTTGACGACCGAAATGCTCAGGATGTCCGAGTGGCAGCAGAGGATCTCGCCCGAAAAGCTCCCGATCGGCCTGAGTTGGCTGAATTGCTTTGGAGTCGTCGATCTTGACAGCGACGGAACACGTGGAAGAAGGGACAGAAGGCCATTTGCGGAAGCCGAAGAGAACAAGCTTTGAGGGGGTCCTGAGATATCCTGAGATAGGTTTGTCGCGAACTGACCATGTTTGGAGCTCCAAAGCCAGGGTCACTCAGGTTCTAGCTGCATGTGCTTAGGATATATACAGGATGTTGAATGAACGCCTTTGCTTCAAAGCAGGTGAGCAGGTGAGCTAGTTAGTCCCTTGGAAGAGACCACTCCAACCACTCCAAGCCAATCGCCTCAAGCATTTTGCTGGTAAGAACAATAGAACGGGATGCCATCGGCATCGGTTGATGTGATCAGCAGGTCGGCTTGATCAAGTGATATCAAGTGTGGTTCCCGAGCATGAGTTCCGGAGATGTTGAGATCGCTTGCTGATTTGAACGTTTTGAAACGGACATGGATTGCTGCTTTCGATCATTGTACAGTCCGCCTATTCTGGACGTGGATCACGTGGCCGATCCTTTTGACGCCGAAATCCAATGAAATCCATGACACATTGTAGGTACGTGTGTGTGTGTGTACCGTACGAGTATACATGTGTGTGCTGTACGATGCTGTACGCTTCGAATCCGTTTCTTCGTCCCACTCGTCGAACCTCGGGTGCCCGGACGGCGGAGAGAGAGGTCGCAGCGGTGAACGGAACCGGCGTCGGTCGCAGCGGATGGTCTAGGATTGACCAAAGGACTCCAAGGCCTTGTGCCTTGAACTGGTAAGTTTAGCAACATAACTGGGTGCGCCGCTTGGTAAACCTCTTGCAGACCCTTGGCAAACTATACACTCAGAAGATCTCAGAACTATTGATTGTCAATAGCCGAAAGATGTGAAAAGGGTGCGTTCAGCACCGCTGCAAGAAAGTCCACCTTGAAAATGGTACTTCATGTTTGAGAGATATAGAGTCCATCATCCCTCTATGGTGGGCTGCTTTGGATTGGAGGACTGTTTGATGTATATTAATTACATTTATATAATTACCATATCCTTTGAACTCATATCACAGATTGCACACCCCAACTCCTGGGATAGTTGGATAGTGTAGCTTATGTGATAGCTGGTCAAGCAGGGTGTTGGTGTCAGAACACCCCGCCTCAGTTTCGACAGTTTTTTTCTACCGGGCGCACTGACGCACAACTAATCTTCAACAGTCTTTTCACAGAGTTCACAGTAGCTGGTTCGGAGTGTGGATTTGTGCGGACACAAGACTTTATTTGAAGATGAGGTTCAAAGAACATGTATGTGGTTCACAGTGCCCTGCAGCTTTACAATGCTCGGCCAGCACCAGCATCTTCGTTCATCAGGCCTTGCCCGCAGTAATCCCAGCTTTGCAGTGGAATCACAGTACATGTAACATGTTCATGGATGATTTGTCCGTGTAGTGTTTGCATTGAATGCAAGTGTGTATACAATATTCTCCTGATTTCTCCTTATTCCACTGCTGATCGGCTGAGGACGGCTTGATGGTTGCAGGTACAGTTCGCCATGTTCCACTTGAGATCTGAAAAAGGTGCTGCAGTGCTTGTCCAACTCCCTTCACTGCGCGAAGGGGAAGGATGCAGTTGTAGCTGTTGGCCTTACCGCCATAGTGGTTTCTTGCTGGTTTTAGCTAAGGGCTACCATCAACTCAAGCTGTTCACACCTATCAGAAAAGGCATCAAACCATATCAAACCCCTAAGCCTAAGGCTGCATGGATGGTGTCTATGACTCTATGGTGTTTGTGGCCGTGAACTGGCACCAGGAGACTGGACCCCCGTATACGTATACGACTTGGTGTATCGGATCGGCGCCCGGCACGGAGCGTTCGAAGGAGACGACAAGGGAATAGAAGGAAATCATGTGCCTTCTGAATCACGGGGGGGGTTAGTAATCCATCCTTGACATTGGATGGGAATGGAATTAGGAATGAAAGCTGAAGAAGCGTCCACAGCCCACAATGAGAAACGATCGGTGTTTGGCCAATTTGGGGCTTTTCATGGAATCAACTGCGACAAAACCAGAGAATCGCACTGCTCCTCCCAATTTGGGTTCACCTCCCAACATGTCCCAAAAGAAAAGACCAACCAATGGGTGTGTCACAGTTCTATAAGTGTTTCCAACCACTGGGCGCCACATCCATGTGTCCTGTTGTAAGACTGTTTGTATCCAACTTGGAGGATTCCGATTTCCTATACTGTATGTCAAGATACCCTGCTAGTGACTAGTGATGTTTCACAAGTAACTCCAAACTGCCTTGCCACTTTTTGCCGATGACGTCCTGCTACCACCATCTACCACCCAAGTGCCTAGAACTCCTGCCCGTTTCCGCGCCTCCGTCGCACACGTCGACGAGCTTCGTCATCTTCGTTGCCATGGCCTCGCAAAGCTTCGCAGCGGTGGAACGCGACAGCGGCTCTGAGGAGGTGGTGTCACGCCGTGCACAGGTTGTGATTGGGCTTCAGAGGTAGTGACAACAGTCCGAGGCCTGCCAAGCTTTTTCAAGGCATTTTTGTCGTTTTTAGTTCAGATTATCCAGACGAGTGTGAAGGGAAACACATGTTTGGTCTCATCCAGCAGACGTGCAGCTGCACAAAGTGTTTTGGTACCGCCCAAGGCTCCTGGCCAGTGAAGAAGACCTTGTGTGTGGCTGGGGTCCTTTTGGCAGTGGTGGGCCTGGGATCTCTGCGCTTCTCCAACCAATGCCTCAACTTGGATGCCTTACAGGGAAAGTCCGAGGCGCAGATGAATGAGGCCGCTGACTGTCAAGTATATCGAACAAAGATGAAAAACAGTATACATTATTGCTCAGAAACTGATTAGAAAGTCATTTCAATGGTATATACTGCAATGTTGACATATATAATCTACCAGCACCATCCTGTCGGGGTGTCCTGGCTGGATTATCCCGACTATCCCACACTGCCTATAGGCTTTGATTGGGCACCCCTTGGATGGTCCAGTGGTCCAGGTATAAGTCATTCAACATGAAGTTAGAAAAACCAACTGCCGTGACTGAAGTCAGTGATTTACTTCGTCTTCCTGTGCTCGGTGGTGCTCCCGGCACGGGTTGGCACGGTGCGCTCGGCACGGTGCTCGCTCGCTCGTCTCATTGGGAGGCACTTCTGAAGACGCGCAAGAAGCTTCTGGAGGCTGAGTGGTTCGTTTTGATTTGCCAGACATGCCATTAGACCAAACCAGCAACAGCTCACAAGGCTGGCACCTCTGACTTCTCAGGGATAGAAGTCATGGATCGAAGGAAGGTTTCTCAACATGTCATTCAACGCTTTCACGCTTTCAATCTGGAAGGTTTTCTCCGGTTTCGATGCCGGAGATCAGTACTGCATGTGCCAAACCACTCGATTTGGCCTTTTGCGACCCCATCGACACTGGGTGCTGCACCGGGGGGCGAACCCGCCACCGGGTAGAACCCGGGGGAACCCGCCAGCGCGGTTCCCGGGGTCGACCGGCGGAACCGGAGGTGAAGAATCGGAGTTTGGCGGAGAAGACGATCTTGAAAGCCATGACGAAAGCGGGCCACGATGCCCAAAAAGACTGGGAGGCCCACGTGGCACCCGCACACGGGGGGCCAGGTGTGGACTTGCGGGAGTTAGATGGACAGGTGTGCTGTGGGCAGCCAGCTGACCTGCCATGTAGAAGACAACTGCTAGAAGACAAGAAGTCCGTTAGTGTCGCCGTTCTTTGTTCCCATCCACTTCTGACAGGCCATCCATGTTTGGCATTGTTTGGCTAATGGTTATAAGATGTGACGGCACACCACACTGTCACACCACGTTGAACCATGAACCAACCCGATGGTGGACAGACCGAGAGCCGCCGTGCCCGCGGTGCCGAGATTTGAACTCGGATGCTCCAAATTCCAGTGCCGGGTCCAACAACGCCAAGGATGGCATGGATGTAAGCTGGTGATTGAAAAAGCAACAAACAGCTCTTTGTTAGCCCAACCTAGCCATCAACAGTTCTGTCCCCTGTTTTGACCAGCCAAGGGGGTGGACGGTTGACGAGCTGGACGCTGGACGGTTTGTAGTACGGTGACCCGACCGTCGACTTGGTTGGAGTGGACCGGACGCACGTCCGGCTCCAGCGGCTCCAGGAGCATCACATCCGCAAGTTGGACGCCTTGACCGTTCTGAAGGACCGCCAGGCCATCAAAGACTTCCGCCGTGGCCAGCACAACGAGGAGCCACGGGTCCACGTGGTTGTTTTCTGCTTTCTGAAAGATGCGGCTTTTTGGCCCGGGAGTTTTCTGCGAGTGGTTCGGTCTGTTAAAACATATTAACTATGCATGCCGTAGGTTGTCGCATGTTGTTACTTGGACATTTTGCATGTTGCTCTTCATTGTCAAGAAGCCCGGAATGCAAGCCTGCAATTGCAGGAAGCCGGGAATGCAGAATGCGCCTTCAACATTTTGGAGGCCTTCGTCTCGGTGGTGGGCATGGGCGACGACATCAACGGCATCATCCGCACCTGCCCTCCTCCCCGCGATGGGGAGTCTGAGTTGGCGTGCCAGGTGGACGCATCCATCCTGGTGGCATGGGTGCCTTGGATGATTTACTTCAGAATTCGTGTTTGTTTGTAGTGGTCCCCAAATAGATAGACAACCCTTTCCAATACATTCTTGGGGATCTTCTAGCTCTTTAGCGATCAGAGAATCGAGACAAAATGATTCAATTCAATATCTCATCTCCAATGAAATTGGGGGTACGCCGGTGTTTGAAATGGGTCCTTTCTTGTACAAAGAGTGCCCAAATATAGAACACGCATTTTGGAACTGCTTGTGATGTTTGTACATGTCACTTGTCATGTTTGGAATTGATGACAAATTCCCGACTTGGAATCTAGGATTGAGATAGGATAGTAATAGTACTTGTATGAGTTTGGTTTTAGATAAACGTTAAAATGTTTGTGTTTTTTTTGTTATGACTGTTGGTAGGGTATGTTCCCACCTTGCCCATATGTTATGCTTTAAAGATCCTTGAAGTGCATCCTTCAAGCATTTGAGATACCTTTTTGGGCACCTTGGAGGGTACTGTGTTTGTGGAGGTGATGGCCTCAGGACCTGATTCTTTGATATTCTTTGTAAGTTGCCTACGGGAGGTCACTGCGGGGCGATAATTATAACGTGACAGCTGGACCAAATCTTTATATTGGACCAATACATCCTCGTGTCGATAAATATGACAGCTGAACGGTCCAGGGATCCAGTCGAATTCGCTCCCGATCTTGGCCCCAAGAGTAGGAGACGAGAGGGCATCCTGCACCCTGATTGACCCCGGTGCGACCCTTACCCCTTACATCTTGTTCTCCCCTAAGATGACCATGCTACATGTAAATTCATGCTTATATATACTATATATACTGTACTGTATGTAATATGTCCTATAGTGCCCCAGCCTTTGTCCTAACTTTAGGTGGGCAACGCCGCGGCCAAGATTTCCCTCGCGGCCTCCAACTGCGCTTTGACGCTGAACGTCGACTCCGTTTGCGCGGCCGGCGTCTCGGGCCTGGTGGCCGCCTTTGGCGAGATCTCCGCGGGCGCCTGCCTGGGCGCGGCGGTGGCGCGGCGGACATCAACCGGTCCAAGCAGTGTGGTCCCACAGGGGGGTGAAAACTGTAGGTGTGCAGGCCCGAGTTGAGGACACCACAGACTATTAACATCTCCGTAGAAAGTTTGGATGAAGATAGAGTGTTGCTGTTGCGATCTGATCTTATGTACCCCTATTATCCCCTATTACTCTATGCCTGCGTGTTTTGCAACATTGTTGCTTCTCATCCTCCGCCTGTTTGAGGGCACTAAAATCGTTGTCAGGAAAGGGCCATCGAACCTAAAAAGGGGTAATGTTTTGCATTGATTGATCCCTGCACTGTGTTGATCTTTTTTATAGATAGCACACCTTGGTTGTGAGAAGTGATGGAGAACCCTACAAAAGAAAGCTGCAGCTTGACAAAGTCAAGCCCGTTGTACCAGTAGATCAACCTGGAGGTACCTTTCATATCAAGTCTAGGGTCAAAACACGTTTTTTGGGAGTGTACAGCAACAGGCGCTGGAGAAAAAAAAACATAGGCCTGGATCCTAGACTTAAGGCGGTCCGAAAAAATACATTTGCGCATTGCTTTCAGTAACTGCTTGGAATCACTGTGTTTTGATCTGCGGCGTGAAAACCATGATTGGGAGTCATTTCCTTACAGTTTGTGGATATGTTTTTAGTTTTCTGATATTCCACGGGCGTTTATACACAAGCTACGGGTCTATTGGTGAGCCACGGGCAGTTTTACCCGAACGCGCTTTTTCAGCAGATGTTTATTTCGGCTGCAGATGTGTGATTTCGGTTCACAGACTTAGATCAAGATAAGTTGAACTACCACTACTTGTACCAACCCAATAAAAGTCAACCACGAGGCGTTTGTGGGATGTCCCATGTCCTCCTTGGCATCAACACGAATTGACCACCAAGGTTTGCACGCCGACGCCCCCATCTTTGACCACGACCAAGATCAGCGTGTTGGGTGATCAGACGGTGCGCACGCCCGAGACTGGGCGTCGTTTGTTGATCGGCGAAGGGACCATTGGAAATGGCGTCCAGTGTGGCGTGGATGTGGGCATGGTGGCAGCCAACATTGCCAACATGGGAGCCTTGACTGCCAGAGTTGCATCTGTTTTGGTGGCTCCCAAAGATCCTTGCGTCCCTTGCTTTTGGGATCTTTGGGAGCTCGAACCTTGAAGTGCTAAGAATTGATTGTTGGACTCCTTCGAGGAAAAGTAACCCTAACCTCAGATATCGAATCCATGATCTCAGTGAACATCAACTATCAACAAATGGTGTAACGGTGTAAGCGACTTTTTTGTTGTTGTTGGCCAAGCGGCAGTTTCCAAGCGAGGTTTGGCCATCAACAAGGCAGTGAACGTCAACCGCTGTGGAAAATTTGCCACTGAGAAGAACCCCTTGAACGTCCTGAAAGGCATTCCGGATGCACTTTGCACTGTAGACATTGCTGGAGCCGTTGCTTACATCAGTCACTTGGCAAGTGTGTTTTTTCGTTGGAGTACTACTCTCCTCAGTTCGTCATCCGGTTGCACTTCATTGGGTTAATTGGGGGTTGTCCATTTGTTGCTCCGGATTGGTGAAACTCACGACTGCCACGGTGAAGCTTCTCATGTCTTCGATGGGACTGTAAGACCTGTGGATCACCGGCCGAGGTGAGGATATCCAAGAGCAGGTGAGGTTGATCTCCCTGGTAGGTGGTTTCGGGATGTGTCATGTTTTTTCGGAAAAACATCGCCTCTGGCTCAAGCGCTACTGCCGAAGCAGCTTGGGGTCAATTTCAGTGCTTTGGGATTTGGACCCCTAGCCAGTGGAGCACGACGGGACTCTGGATATATCACTGGTGTATAGAATCTAATCTATAAATGACATGGTTTTGCCAGTTTCTTCTGGTTTCAAGAATCTGGACGTTTGGAAGCTGGACTTAGGTCAGGTCGTCACCTTCATCAACCTCATCGTGGTTCATTGCCAGGACAGATACAGCCATTCTCCAGTCCCGACGAGAACTGTGGAGGGTCTGGAAGTGAGGATATATGCATGTCATACTCTTGGGTTTTTGCTGGAGTCTTTGGTATTGTGTTGTGCAGACTCAGTTATGATTGTGTGACATATTGTAGGAATCGCAGCTGTTGGGAGTTAACACATCTCCTGCACAGGTTCCCAAACACTCCTCCGATCCTGTTCTTGCCATGACTTCACCAGGACTTCCTGGATGTCAGCGCCTTGTGCGGCGGTTCCATCGCCGCCATCACCACCGGAGGTGCTGCCATTGCTGCCTATGGCGGCGCGGTGCACGCCGCCTGCCGCTACAACCACCTCCTGAAGACTCCGAAGCCTACGCAAAAGGTGGCGGAGTGGCGGTGGGTTTAGTTTGGCGACTCGCGGAAATCCATGCAGATGAACCTTTAGTTAGTGGATGATTTGGAGGAGTGTTTCAAGCCTGGGGGGG